AACTGGGATCGGAATGGGGCTCTATCTAGGGCAGTTGGCATGTTTTTTTTTTGCTTTTTTCACTATCAAGTTACTCAGCACTTTGTCTCTATATGAAATCCTTAACCCACTATCCATGATGTAGAATGATCCCGGGCCTGCCTTCAAAGACCGCATTTCTAGCCTCTACAAAATCCCTGTTGCTTACCCTCCTTATCAGAATAGAGAACTCAGTCACAGTGACAATGAAAACGGGCAAGGGATCAACTATATAGTCACTCGAGTTTCGCACAAATAACTTACCGGTGTTGGCGCCATTGGTGATGACTTTGTACCGTCCTTCTAGAAACAGAAAATTTTTTCAAGAGATTTCAAAGTTCAACTCAGAAGTATTGCCACTTGTTAGAGTGTGAAAAAATGCGACCACTGGGGACTAGGCTATCTTTACCCTTACCTTTTCTACCCTTGCCCCTTGAACTCATGAAAAACATTTGTATAACAATGTAACTCACAATGCAGCAATCCTTGCATTTTGGCTGCTGATCAACTTCGTAGAATGGTGTGCCGGCTGGTATCTCTGGTATCTCATTCTTGCATGAATTGCACGGTACCTTAAGGAGTGTACAGTAACTTGAAGAAGTTTGCGGAAACGCCTCTGTTGCCTCACCAAATTCATTCACTGTTGCTTTCGGGAGCGTTCCAATCTCATCGTGTGGGCGGAGAAAGTCATTGGTTACCTTGCTTTACAGAATTGAAAGGAGTGGAGGGGAAGGCACAAGTGGTTGACCGGTTCCGCTCAAGAGATTAGCGTGGACCGCACCTTCGAAAAATTTGTGAGCTCCAACCTCGTCTCAGAGATGGAAATAGGCCCATGAAACAAGCAGTATTTCTCAAGCCGTTGGAGGACTCTAGAGGCTGAAGATACAGCCCACGCTAATAGCACGGGTGGAGCAAGTAGTTGACGCGGCACTCCGCTTTACATTGCCAGTGAGGAGGGCACAGTGACTGTCTCCGTCCACGAGGTCAACGAGGACCGGATCTTCAGGAGGTCCGTCGGTTCCAATCTCGTATTGGGGATGGAAGTAAACGCGTAAAGCATCCAGGTCTCAAAGCATTAAAGGATTTCAGAGATATAACGCATTACAGCCTTTCTGCGCTGCGGATGCTGGGGAGTGTCAGATGGGAGGGCGGGCTTTGTTTGCCAGCCCGTTTTCCAGCAGTCTTTGTCGCTTGTCCGCTTCAGCGATTGGGGAGAACAGGCTGGCGCCACGCCAAACTCAGCCCCCATGACGCGCCTAATAATCCGCACCAAACGAGACTGCACTTACCGGTTCTCTATATGTCTTCGGAGTTGGTCTGATGCCGTCTTCCTGAAAAACTTCAATGACTTGAGCAAGATATGTTCATGTGAGAAAGAAGCGAATAGGCTAAAACTTCTGGGCGCTGTTCGGTTGGGCGGGGGCATTTTGCACTCCAGCTTAGCCCTTTTGTTGGTTCATGTTATCCGACAGGTTTCACTTTTGTCAGACCTGTAAACTCCTGTGAAGCTGCAGTATTGTTCGAGTGAGCCACTTTGGTGGAGAGAGTTCACAGGTCTTTAAAAAGTGACCT